GAATGGTCACACTAGAAAAACCATTGTAATTTCCCACAAAGTATTCTTCATTCGTTAATAATTTTATTCTTTTATTCACTTTGCTTCATCTCTTCTTCAAAGGCCTCAATCTGAAGGGAAAATAAAGATATAAACAAATAAGCTATTATACATTATGCTGCATTACATAAGTACAAAGTCTCTGAAGAATCCCAAAGGCGGGAGTATTTATGGCACTGAGAGGACTCAGTAAAAGTTGGTTCAAGGGACCATTTCTTGGTTTATTTATTTGTTCACTGTTTTTAGTATGCAGTCTTGAAGGGGGGAAAATAATGGCAGTGGGAAGAGAAGACGCGAGAGGGAAATGAGTGGAACAGAGGTGAGGAGAAGAGGGTTCTAACCCCCGGCTTAAGAATTAGGGAGGATTAGGTAAAGAGAGGGAAGTGTTTAGGTGAAGAGAGGATAGTTGAGGGAATTATTTCTGGTATAAATGCTCCCGGGAAAGCAAGTAGATGTTTGTGGAAGTGACAGGGGCCAAATTTGAAATCTTAAGAAGGAAAGGTCTAGAGTAGCCTCTGGGAACAATGGAATCCACGGGCCATGGAGGGCAGTCTGCATCAACAGCAATGAGCACCCCTGGGAGAGGAGACAGGGGAGTAGAGCCTGTCCTCAGGGGGGTGGAGGGTGGGGGGACGGCCGTGTTGCCCTTCTTTGTTGTTAACTGAGAACCCAGCAAAAGGTTGGTTGTGCCCTAACCAGTTTGGATAGGCCGTCGGCCTACAGAGTCAAGGGTCCCAGGTTCAATTCCAGTCAAGGGCATGTACCTTGGCTGAAGGCACATCCCCAGTATGGGGTGTGCAGGAAGCAGCTGAAGGATGTTTCTCTCTCATCTATGTTTCTAACTCTCTATCCCACTCCCTTCCTCTCTGTAAAAAAATCAATAAAATAGATTTTAAAATATAATAATAAATTGTGAATTGACAAGGCTGGCAGGCGGGTAGAAGGTCCAGGGCTATGGGCTTCCATTGCGCTCTTAGCTGTGGGTTGAGAGAATAGAGTTGAATGACTGACTAAAGGGTCCAATGGGATACAGGTTATGGGAGGTACAAGCAAGTCCCATTTTCCCTGGCTCCCCCTCACCCCCTGACCTAGATTGCTCCAAGATATGGCGCCTGCACCCCAGCCTTGCCCCTCATCTGTCTGTCTCCCCAGGTTGTCTTTACCACTGACTCCCTGATTATAGCAACAGTTGTTCCTTTTCTTCCAGCCCACCAAGAGGACTGTGTGGAACAAGGAGATACAGAGCCTTTATTTGGTTGTACTATGTGGTCTTTTATTCCTTCTCTGATTTAGCTTTTCGTGTATATATTTTCACTTTCACATGTCACTAAGTTTAAATGTTTAAACATTTCCCCCCTTCAGTAGCCAAAATGAAAACAAAGCAACAGCTAATATAGTAATAAATTTATTTCTAGCTACCAGGAGATAAGCTTCAATGCAATGTGGCCATAAAGTATGGCTCCCAGGCTTAGGGGAGAAGCCATAAACTTTTATAAATAAAGGAATTTTAAAATACTCCTGGCAGTCTAAATAAGGGTAAAATATAACTTATAACCGGCAGCACACAGCCAGCGCCAGAGCTACTTGCAAAAGAAAGCCATGAACTAAAATAAGAAAATGTTTGCAGGATTTCTGTTGCTACCTTGCACCTCAGGTGGGCTGGGCTGGAGAATTCACTGTGAGAAGTTTTTGACTTACCTTCAGATATTTTGTCTCAGTTACGTCTCCCAACACCTTTGGATTTGCTGAAGCTCTGTGATAATCACCAAGGAAACCCAGGGTCCTTTGCCACAAATAAGAGAATTCTCAGCAAAGGTGAAGGCTTTATAGAACAACCTCCAAAAGACGGAGTGTCATAACCCGAGACCGTGTCCCACAGGGGGGTTATGAGGGAACTTGCCCAGCTCAGGGGTTGACTAGACTTTCAGTCTTGCTCTGCAGCCAATCTTTAAAGAAATATGAACCCCTCCCAAGGGCCATCTCAGGTTTCACTTGGGTTTTCAGCTCAGGAGATTCTTGGGTAAACACTTTGAAAAATACAGTGGCATTTTAGTGAGCAATGCGTTGATTTGAAAAACTGTTGAAGTAATGGATTATCCCTCTGGAAAATTAAGAAGCAGACAAGAGAATACTGCTCTCCCCTTCCCTCTCTTCTCTCTCTCTCTCTCTCTCTCTCTCTCTCTCTCTCTCTCTCTCTCTCAGAAGTGATAATATAATAGAAGGGGAAATGGAATGCTGCCAATAGGATGAAATCAGAATTTTATCAGTGCTCTCATTCAATAGCCTGTATTTCCCAAGCATCTGTACTTATAGGCCAACTGTGTTTGTTGCTGGGAAGCAGGTTAAGGGTGGTCTGTCCCCTCCAGGAACTAAGGGCCTTGCTAGCATAGAGTGGGTTACACCTGGCAACAGGAATGCATCTGGGAGGGCTTATTAGATACTAGTAAGCTTACACTGAGTGGCCGGATTATTATAGTCTCTGAACACATAATAATCTGGCCACTCAGAGTGTGTGTGTGTGTGTGTGTGTGTGTGTGTGTGTGTGTGTGTATTAGAGGCCCGGTGCGTGAATTTGTGCATGGGTGGGGTCCAGCCAGCCTGGCCAGAGGGAGGGGACATGGGCAGTTGGCCGGCCTGCCTGCTGGTTGAACTCCTGGTCAAGGGGACAATTTGCATATTAGCCTTTTATTATATAGGATATACACTGAGAGGCCAGATTATTATGCATTCAAAGATCATAATAATCTGGCTACTCAGTGTATTTTAGAAGGTGGTAAACTAGCCTCTGGAGGGAAAGGCATTCATTCCAGAGAGAGGAAATGAAGGGGTTGAAATGGTAAAGGGAAGTAGAATGGATGTTCATTCATTGGGCTTCTACTGTAGAAAGCCTTCAATACCATTTTAAGGTTTTTGGAATATATTGTGTAGACAGTAGGAAGCCATAGAAAAAAAGAACAAGCAGAGACCTGATCTGTGTTTTAAATTTGTTTCCTAAAGAGAAGTCTCTGTTGGCGGTAGGGAGATGGGAGACAGATGATGGGGCTCTAGGGAATCAGCAGAAGGAATGTGTGGGCATTCCATGAATGATTTGCGAGGCCTGGCCCTGGCTGAAGTTGGGTTTGTTTTGCTGGTTTGTGCAGAGAAAGACAAGCTCACACAGAAACTTTAATTCTCAGTTTCGTTTCACGACTTAGTAGCCATGTGTCCATGGGCAGGGAACCTCAACTCTGTCTCAACGTTACTTGTCTACAGAATGGGAATAGTAGGAGGCCTTCTGCATAGGGCTGCCATTCGTTTAACTAAAATGTTATATCTGTATGTGTAGCCTTTAGAACCACGCCTAGGATGTGGTACATGCTTACTATTGTCTCACTTCATTTGCATTGTTTATCAGTTCATTAATTCACTTATTTGTTCGTTTACTCTTTGTGAAGGCAGTTTTAAAACAATCCAGGTTAATCTACTCTAGATTGTCATTGGTAAATTTTGCTTGCCGAATTTTACTGACTTTTTTTTTTTTTTTTTTTGGCTGGGGAGTAGGGGGGGACGCGGGAGAGACTCCTTTTCTTAATTCCTCCTCAGCCAAACATTTCCAGCAAGAAATAAGAGGGTGGTGCTTATAAATTAAAATTAGCTACTTCCCCTCCATGTAAAGTGTGAACAGAAAACTGTGCAAAGAATGCTGCTGTGTGGTGGTTCTTGGGGCCAGTGTGTGACAGAGGGCAGGGGAGTGTTCGGTCAAGCTCTTGTGCTGGGGAAAGGGGCCGGCTTGCTTTACAGTGCAACCTGGTTCCATTATTTCAGACCACGGATTCTGAAATTCCAGAGCCTAGCGTGAGCCACATTGACTTTGACGGAGAAACACCTCCCAGAGTCCCCAATATAAAAGTTTAATCACCCATGCCTCTGCTTCCATTCTTAAATTGTAACAATACTTCTGTCTCCCACGAATATAATAAAAAATTATGAGTATTTTCATTGTAGGTCTATTTTATTATATAAATGTATATTTGCATTTATTATATAAGTAACTGCAGGCTCCGATATTAGCACTCAGAACAAAGCTCTAATAGGAGGGAATAGCTCCTTTTTTTTTTTTTTTCCTTGTGCAGAGCCAGGATTCTGTTTCTTCACAACGTTAGGGCTCTTATGAAACAGGAAGTGGGTCTCATTAGTTTACAGGAAGAATCTACAGGATTTGGGGAGAAAAACGAAATATCCTGAAACGTTTTGCCTTTGAAGAGCTGGGAAGGCAGTTCTTGACTGAGGAGAGACTCACACAGCTTCTCTGTATAGTTGAGGTGAACAAAACTCTCCTTGACACTGAAGGCTTTTATTGTACCTGCACATAAACTCTCCACTGATGGAAGGGGTTCTTTTGTTTGATCCATCAAGATTGCCAAGCCATATGTCACCATCCCCAACTAGGAAGCAGCATCATGAAACGATGATTAAAGTTGCAGGAGCCAATTCATGAAGTGGCAAGAGATGATGGAGACTTCATTTTCTCCTGTTGGTTATTGGGAGTTCAATTTTATAGCACTGAGTACTTCTGAAAGAAAGCTCATAAATTATTTAAATGACGTGCTCCAACTTTTCTCCTTGACTTATGGCTAAGCAGTTTTGACTAGCTCCTAAATTAGGGCAGTGTTGTCTTGTGATAAGATAATTTGCTGAACATGTTTTTTGTGGGATCATGATCATGTGGTTAATTAGCAAAGATCGTAGGGGGTTGGGTGATTTGGAATCTAGTCCCATCCCTATAGGAATACACGTGTGACTTCAAGCAAGCAACTTATTTCTCCTGAGAATGTTTGTCCCATCTCCTTGGAGGGGCTTTTGTGAGAATCAAATGAATGGAGGTAAAGGAAAGCTCAAGCACTAGAAATGGCTAACAGTAGTTGCTGAGCATCCTTAAGGAAGAACAAATGAGCATTTTGTTTCTTTGTTTACTTTCACAGGCAACAAGGGAAACCCTCAGCCGTCACTGCACCACGCTGGGCGATGCCCTTCGGAAGGAGAATGACTTTGCCCTTATCATTGACGGGAAGACCCTCAAGTACGCCCTGACATTCGGAGTGCGCCACTACTTCCTGGACCTCGCTCTGTCCTGCAAAGCGGTAATTTGCTGCAGGTACGTTCTCCTGAAGATTGTCAGGTTTCAGTCACGAGCGACTTTATCCTGAGTTCCCTGGTTCTTAAAGTAATTCTCTCCAGGATTTGTAAGTGTCAGGTTATTCATTAATGGAAGGCTCATAGACTGGGATAGACTTTATTAGCAGAGATTTTGAAAGTGAGTCCTAAAAAATTCTCAATAAGTTATTGTTCATGATCACAGTTGACAGGCATTTTGCTGTTTTCTGCGTGTGAAGTCAATCATTTACCTGCATTTCCAACGAGCATTATTTCTGTAATACCTACCATAAGCATCTACACAGAAATCTCTGATCCTGCCGCCAGGATTTATCCGGGGGAATGGCAGGATGGGAGGCACTGATTAAATCATCTTCCAGGGAGCTGAGCATTTTCCTGAAGGCTCGACTAGTGGGAAATAATTATTGATTGTACAGTCCTTCATCCTCTAATGTAGAATTTTGCCTTTACCCTAAAACAGTATGATATTGCCTACCTCCTAAAATAAAATCTGTTTTCAGTTATCAAGGCCACACCCACAGAATTGTATAAACCATGTGGTCCTTCCTGAACTCCTTGTCCAGGAATCTTCCCCATCTCCCTGTCTACACTGTGTAAACTGTGTCTTCCTAGAACTTAAAGTGCATTCATGACTGTGCCAGCCTCTTCCCTCTGGCCACCATGAGTCCTAAGGATTTTCCCCTTCACTGCTCACTTACTGAATCTTACCCGCTGGTCACACTGGGTCCAGGGTAGCAGTTTCTTGACTTGTTTCTCTTCCTCAAAGTGAAATGTTAGCAGGGCTTCTGAAGAATTTCCTACAGTCACTGCTTTTCATTTTATCTTTAAGACTGTAATGTTTGCTTTTAGTATTTTCTTAAAAATGTATGTATTTTTTAAAGAGTGTTACGTGTTTTGCACCTTTTTATTTTTTTGGTCCAGGCTTAGTCACTTAAATATCCTGTGTATTATATTGTCTCCAAACTTATTAGCCATGCCATGTAGAGATTTCCTAAATTTCAATTGAAATATACTTTGTGAAATATAATCTAAATTGTACTTAATAGGTACCCTTTATAAGATTCATTTCAACCTATAAAAGTGTGTCATATCTGAAGAATTGAGTTGCTTATTCTTCTCAGTGGCATCTATAAATAAATATTACTATAAAGCTCATAGATAAAATAGTGCAAGATCATTAATATTAGTAATAATCAGGCTCTTTGCTTACTCTTGAAGAAAGAATTGGCAATTTTGTCATCTTGACTGTCATTTGCACTTTGGTATCCTCATGCTTTAAAAAAAAAAAAAAAAATGCATTTTCAGTAACTTCTCCTGGCTCCTGACACTCTTTATCTGGATCCTATTGTGCCAGATTTGGCTGTGGAATCATTGTCACTAATTGGGTCCCAAGGATCAAGTCAAGTTTGCTCAAAAACACATTAACAGATACAACTCTTGGCTCTTATGTGGACACAGAGCAGAACCAGGGCTATTGGGATAAAAAATAAAACCGGTTCCCCTGAGTCAGCAGCCTCAGTCCTGCGCCCCCACGTGCTTGACGTAGATGGCGCTCCCTGGAGCATGAAGAATACTTCCCTGCATCCCTCCGTCCTTTCTGTGTTCAGTACAATCACAACTGGTTTGGAAGATGTGGGAGGCCAGTTTTCCAAACGCAGCCCTAGCAGCTGAGCCTCATTCTTACGGCATTGCCTAACCCAGTACCTCCCACCATCCTTCAAAAAGCTGAACCACAAACTAAACAATAGCAGAGGGAGAGAAAAACTAGAAAGCAGCATCGAGGGAGGAAAAATATGCTCTGTGCTGTGAAACGCCCTCTCGAGATCCTTGTTCTGGACGCTCACAAGTCACATGGACCTCGGGGCTCCTCCAGGCCCCGGGGGAGGGAATCCCACCCAGCCGAGCACGTGCAGCCCAGCTCTGCAGCCGCCCAGCTCTGCAGCCGCACTTATAAAGATGTGTGTGGCCCTTGCCCCACTCCGCCCTGCCTTGTGCATGTCCCTGTGCAGACACTGAGTTTTATTTAGAGTTGTAGGCTTGTTGTGTGTGTGATGTCTCTAAGTAAAATATCCCTCCTTGCCCCTTTTCTTCTCATTATCTGCACACTCTCTCTTTTCCCATAAGGACTGTGGTTTCGGCTTCCGGTCTGGCTTTAAGAATTCCTCTAAGCCCATAATTACATCAGTGCCACTGCCCGATTTATGTCTCTGCACCTTCTTGGCCTGGTGCCTCTTGGCATATAAGCTCTTGGCACAGGCCATCTTCATGTCAGTGGTTTCCACTTTCCCTGCCAGTGCTCCTCTCCCCGGGCAGGCACAGGTGAGAAGCTCTGTGGATCATCCTTCACCCTGCAACCCCAGTGTGGCGCCTGTGTTTTTTTTAGATGATGATCCTCTCCCAGCCTCAGGAAATCCTCTATTTTACTTCATTCTAGGAGACGCCCCCGATAAATACTGGACATTATTTCAAAATACAGTGCAGGACTGTTTCCCCAAATGCGTATTCACTCAAGCTCAGTGGGTTTTTCCCTCCACGACCTCTTTCTTGTCAGTCTGCACAGGAAGATATTCCGATCCTGCCCTGCGTCTGCAGCCCTCTCTCTGTCTCGGTTGGGGGGAAGTGGAGGGAGAGGCATCCCATAATGGGTAATGAGGGGCCATATTAGGTGCTCTTCAGGATTACACCAGCCTCTCTTCCCTGACATTATCAGCGCCGGGGGCAGGAGGCAGTTCTCGGTGTCTGCCTAATTGACACAGTTATGGAAGATGAGCGTTTTCCCCGAAGAGTCTGCAGCGGGATTGAAAGAAGCGGTTGTTCTCCGTCCGTGGGCATCGGGTCTTGTACTCGCCCCTGTTCTCCGAAGGGGGACAGAAATGAGCCCCCAAATTATTCAGGGCTTTGGAGTCCCGGTTTTGGTTTACAAGGGAAGGTTGCATGTCATTCCTCAGGTATTTTTTTTTTTTTTGAGTTTGTCAACTCCAAGAAGTAAAAGGAAATCTGTTTGTATCCGTCTGCGAAGCGCTGTATTTTCAGGAGCCCCACATGAGCAGCTTTCGTTTTCACCTCCGCACACGTGTACCTGTGCAACCTGAGCAGCTTCACGGGAAACACGCATCTCGTGGCAGCAGAGTTTCCGATCCCTTTTCCTGGTGCCAAACGTAAGCTGCGCCTCGGTGGCCCTCTTCCCTTCGGTTTCCTGGCTCACGCACCCCGGTGCTTACTGTCTGTGTGATCACAGTACTCTTTTTTTAAAAATATATATAATATATTTTATTGATTTTTTACAGAGAGGAAGGGAGAGGGCTAGAGAGTTAGAAACATCGATGCGAGAGAAACATCGATCATCTGCCTCCTGCACACCTCCTACTGGGGATGTGCCCGCAACCAAGGCGCATGCCCTTGACCGGAATCGAACCCGGGACCTTTCAGTCAGCAGGTCGACGCTCTATCCACTGAGCCAAACTGTTTTCGGCGATCACGGTGATCACAGTACTCTTGAAGAACAACATGGAAGCTGGGGACCAGCTCCTCCAAAATATACACCAACGTGTCACATTACAGGCGCTACGGTAGGGGTTACACAAACTCCCCAAACCTCCTTGGACAGGGACGGCGGAAAGGGACTTGCTCTGAGAATCATGAAGATGTGATTCTAGGGTAGGTAACAACAAGAGCTATTCTGCCAGGCAGCAGTGTCAGAAAATAAGTCCTCGTCTCGGTTTCCAAATGATACCCTGAAGTCTTATAGCTTGCGTTATTGGCAGAATGGCGCTTTGGCTGGGGGTGCACACGCTTCTTGTGCGAATGCTACCTCTCTGGCGCCACGGAGACCGCACGGCATCTCTCCGGCCTTGCTTTCGCGGCCTGTGGAGCTTGGCACGCAGCAGCCATGCCAGTCCTCCGGGGAGGCCGGTGTCTAAAGCGGAGGAGAGCGGCGCTCCTCTGGCGTGGAAAGGCGGGAAAGCCGCGAGCACGCGCACACTTCCTGGCTCAGCTTCTTCCGGCTCGAGAGCTTCTGGGCCAGACGACTGCTCTGAGCCCCCTTTTTACTATTTTTGTGTGTGTGTGTGTGTGTGTGTGTTTGTGTTGGCCACTCTGTCCTGGGAAGACCCTGCCTGCTGCTTGCACTCGCTTAATGTGGGGAAGCATCTGTTCCACCCCTGTGACTCTTCCCTCCAGAAGAGAGCGGTAGGAACGTGCAGGGAAGCAGCGCCGTGTGTGAAATGGCATGTGGTTTCTGAGCTCCTCCTCGGTTCACATAACCCGGCCTTGCGGAGAATTTTACATTTTTTTTCCCGTAGTTGTCAGTTCCGTTTAAACATACATTGAGACTTATGTTCTGTGACAGTTGGTTGAAAATTGGCCTAGAGCCTCCAGCTTTTAGACTGTCTAGTAATCACCGTTCTTCCACATAATTTACGTACTCGTGTCTTCTGAAAGGCAGAAGTTAAATTGAAGTAAGCGTTTTTCCCTACTTGCAACATCTCCAATCAGAGTGTTAGCCCCCTTTTAGGCGATTTCCCGGCAGTGCCTAAGAAAACGCTTGACCTCCGTGAGTGTCGCCACTCGGGAGTGGCATTCCAGGCCAGCCCTTTCACCTCCGTCCCATGGGGGACCCTCCGAGGAGAAGTCCGAAGGGACACCCTGCATACTTTCTGTCATAGCGTGAGTGCGTTCAATCAAGGATTTATTTACTGCTTGAGTCTATGGCTTGCATCTTTTTAGGGTTGTCTTAAACTTCAAGGATTTCTCTAAGTAAGTGTTCTCCTTAAAGGGTAGTCATGAAGCACAAATGAAGTTAGTAAATGCTCAGCAGACATTCCTTTCTAGAAAGAAAAAAAAAGTTTGTGAGCATCGTAGGATGCCAAAGCAGATGTTTGGCTCTGAGAAAACTTACAAACTGTTAATGGATGTCAACCCCCTATTTGCTTCCAAGATCATATGAATAAATGTTGGAAACGGTGAGAGAATGTTTCTTTC